GACATTTGCGACAACAACGGAATCCTGGCTTACAGAGACCATCAAAACATCCATATATGTCCCCTACCATAATCCATTGAGGAAGGTATGTTTTTCAGTAGTGATGATATTTTTTATATGATAATGACTGATCAAATCATTAAAATTAGTGAACATTTTAGATATCTCAGGTCTATTGTTCAGACTGGCGGTGATATATATGAAAATGTTATTAGTAGAATTCATGTTGGATGGAATGCAATGTGTTATGGAGTAGAATGTTGACATTTAAAAAAAAAAAAAGCATACAACTAAGTTAAGTGTTGCTGAGTTAAAAATGATTAGGTGGATGAGTGGCTTGACATAGTGAATCACAGTAAACAGGGTTCAATTCTTAATGATGTTTGTATGTAGGATTCAAAGTTTGTTTGTGTTTCATGTAAATTTTTATAATTTTTTTATGTTAGAGGAAGTTCCCATAAATGAAGATTGATAAAAGCTATTAATAATATTTTTAGTATTCCAATTTCACAGGCTGTTAACTTTTGAATCATTGAGTTTAGATATTTATGGATTGACCTTACAACTGCTATATTGGGCCTCTCTAAAATGGTGAAATTTTATATCATTAAGGTCTATTTCTAATGGCTTTAGAATTGATTAAGACCAATTCTTTGGTAGACATGGTTCAAAATTAATTTACCTTTTGATTAAATTGGCAAACTAGTGATATGAATTACTTGAGTGAGGCTATATAGTGGCTTTTTGGGGGAAGATCAAAATGATATTAAGCTTATTCTTGTTGCTAGCAACATCAAAGGTTTTGATTTTAAGGCCCGAGACATTGATATTGGTAGGAAAATCAACATTTATGTCTAAGCATAGATTATAAAGTATTTTTCTTATGGTAGCACTTGATATGATGAAATAAGTCTAGAATCCTTAGCTCACTGGCCCCTTAAGATTTTCAAGACAAGCCTTTAATCCTATAAGAACAGATTGATTTTTTTTTTTTACTTTGTTTATACATTTTTTTTAGGATGTCTAATATTTATTCAAGTCTGTCAAATATAAGGATATGTGTAAACATATTTTTTATATGAATTAGGTCTCATTGTATATGATGAAATTTTTAAACAAATTATTCAATATTAAACTTAATAATCATTATAAGTGTTTAAGCAAGCTTACACCCACTTGTTGTAATAGTTAATGGCCAAATGATGAAATTTTGCTACCTAATGGCTATTAAAAGGGTCCAATAATGTCAATTACTCTCCACTAAGTGTTCCAAAAATGTTTGTCAAGAGAAATGTTTTATAGGTAAAATAAAAATAAAATAAAATAATGTATTTTATTATTGTTACATTTTTTCTACAAAGTCTTGTTCATCATATTTTATTATATGCTAGTAAAATTCCTATCCTAAGATTTTATGAGTATCCGCTAATTATTTTTCACATACCCCTGAGTGGATTTCCCAAAGTGCATATTTAACCATTTAAGGTGAAAGACATTTCATTTATAGTTATGTGAATGGATTGTTTTTTTTATTATATCTCAAACAATGTTAAAGTTTACAACTTGTCATCATAAATGAATAGTGAATGTTGGGTCTTCATGTAGCATTCAAACGTATAATAAGAAGAGTACATGATCCACCAAAGAGATCTATAATAACTCTTAAACTGTTTGTAACTCCAATGACATTGCGTACTTAGGAAGTGTATGTCCTCATTACAACTTCATTTATATAAATTTGTTGTTATTGAAGTTATCATTTTGAGAAGGCATCAACTTGATCATTTTACTTTTGTGAATTCATCTAGTTGGGATATTGTAAGAAGTGTGTCTATAAATATTAAAGTTTCCCTCAACTTAAGAAGACATAAGTTAGAATGTGATACAAATAATCAAATTTTGAGGTCCAAAATCAATAAAAAGCCTTATCGTTACCACAACAGCTACATTTGCAGTAGTATTATTATTTGTTGATAATATCTGATGAAGCACATAATCAAAGTATAATATTAAGAAAATATAAAATAGATCTCTACTCCAACACCTAAACCCATAGCTGATTTAATTGAAAATTTTTCATGTGTTAGATAAGATCTTATTGACATAAGAGATAGAATATTTCCCTTTATTCTCCTTCTTTATTGCACTAAACTTGTTATATGAGATTAAAGTACTTCTTCTACAATTTAGTTTGATAATAAAGGAGGTGAAGCTAGATATAAGTTGAGTTGTTTAATGGTAATTTGACACTAATTTTTTCACTAAAAATCATTATTTTAAGTATCCCCAAACATCCAAAGGAATAAAGTATTTCTTTTTAATGGGCTAAGAATTGCGATTAGACTAATACTTTCACATTTTCCCTTTATATTTCTTAGGAATTGTAATCTTGTATGGCCATAATTTTTATGGAGTTGGCTTCAATTCACCAATTGATGATCATAAGTTCAAAAAAAATCAATTTATAACTTAAAAAAATAACAAAACTCTTTCCATAGTGATAGAGAATACTTTTTGGCTTAGATAGGCATGCGATTTGAAGAGACATGTTAGCAGTGCAGAATCTATCATTTTGTTAAGACTCAATGAAAAAATACATGTTTAACAACCCCCCCTAAAGGCACCATGGTTGGACATGTGAGCATGGACTTTGTGCTAGGATTGTGCACCCTTGACACAATGGAGTAAGGACTTTCTTATGATAGTGGTAGATTGTTTCTCTAATATAGCACACTTTATACCTTTTCACATTTTTATGAATGCCTTGCACATTATAGACTCATAATTTTATGTGGTAGTCCATTTTCATGGCGTGCCCAGGACCATAAATTTTAACAAAGATGTGAAGTTTACAAGTTAGTTTGGGTAACCTTATGAGGAAAGTACTTATAGGTACAAGTCTTCACTTCAACTTTGCATCACACTCTCACGTAGATACACAAACAAAAATGGTGAATCAGAATTTAAGAAGCCTTCTCAAATATTTTATTGGAAAGAATATCAAATAATGATTTGCTCATCCCCCTTATAATCATTTTACTAGTTAGTTTATGGGACAGAACATCTTTGAAAAAGTTTATGGAAAAAATTTCCTCTCCACTAGAGTTGATCCTTATACTGCTTGATGTTGAGCTAAGTTTGGATGAAGAGACCAAAGTGAAGGAGATTTAGGCCTTGCATGAATATGTAAGTTGGGATATTATTAAGAAAGATGTTAAGTCTCACAAACAATCAAAGAAGAATATGAAAGGCTAGATCCTTAAGAAAGGTGACTAGTGTGAATCAAATTGAAGAATGCGAGGTTCCTTGTAAGTTCATTTGGGAAAATTAACCCTAGAGTTGACAATCTCTTCAAAATTGTTAAGAAATCAATGAAAATATGTTCAAGATTAATATGTTGGGTGACTACAATATTTATGATACGTTTAAGATCATTGATCAGCACCACTACAAGAATTATCCAAAGGAGGTAAAACCTTTTCGACTTAAGGAGAGTCACATGGGAGCACCCCGCCCAGGCAAGATGAGATATGGAATTGGATTAAACTACTCTTGTTGTTATTAGGTTTATCTCATAAAAAAGTTTAGTTCAACTAAAATTTGTTTAAATTAAAGGTTAGATGAGCATTAATTTATTTTAAAAATTTATAACTTAAGAATATTATGAAAGTATGTGCTTGATTGGATGGATATTTTAATGATGTGCCAATTATTAAAAAAATAGATTGTATACACTAATATGTGTATATGAAAATTCTAACTAATTTTTTATCTTCGATAATTAAGCCCACGCGTCCAAAAAGGAAATTTGATGTCCGGATGAAAAACCATCGGGCACCACGTCGCCATACATGTCGGCGCCAGGCGACGTTGCGCCAGACAGTTGGCTATTATGAAGTAATATTTGTTTTCTTGTTGAAGGAGTTGAATCTTGCCCACTAGCCAAAGTCATTGAATCGTGCTCACATGTTGAAGTGGTAAATCAAGCCCACCTACCAAAGCGACTGAACCAAACTCACCTGCCGAAGTGGCTAAAATGTGCCACCTTCCAAAGTCTGTGAATCTAACCAACCTGTCGAGGTGGCTAATCTTGTTCGTTTGCCAGAGTTGGTGAATTAAGCCCACCTGCTGAAGTGGCTAGTCCAGCTCATCATCGTCTTCCTTGAGAGTTTGACTTCAACCTAGCTATCCTTGTGATGGTAGCAAATCGAGAAAGCCATCATGATCAACCAGAACATTCGTCAAACTCTTATTTAAGGACATTGCCCGTCACTGGTATTCCATCTTATCGCCCAAGCATCAGAGAGGGTATTTGTACCCACAATATATAACATTAACCAACAATACCTCATAATAGCGATATTAACATTCTATCAACACATTAGAAAAAGTCAACAATATTGTTCTTGATGTGCTATCTAGTCAATTTTTTATCTTATGTATAAAAGGGCCAATAAGAGGAAAGATGGGGATTTTTTTTTCCTTCTGCACTATTTCATGAAGGGCTCTAGATCTTTTCTTGAGTTGTCTCTCTCTCTCTCTCCAAAAGTTTGTAAATTGATGAAACCTCCAAGAAGTATTTTTCCTCCCGCTTACCCGAGGTTGGAAATTAATATGTTCACCAAGATTCCTTCCAAGGATATCTTTCATCTCACTCTTTCCTTCTAGCACTTTCTCACAATGACGGGTCTTCTGTCAAGTTATATGTACTCACAAATAATACAAGACTTCATATTATAAAGAGAATCAACATGAACTATATAAAAAATTATTTTCTCACTAATATAGCTTAATTTAGTACCCCTTCCATTTGAAGTATAACTACGTGCATTTACAGCCGCTAAAATTTCACCAGTGCATAAAAATGCCATTATGATTTAATTTGCTCAGCTTGAGAAGCGTTGAAAAATATTTTTCTGATAGTTTCTTTTAAAAATTATTAGAAAATCGTCTCTGTTTTGGTGGCTGGAGAGATTCTTTCTCCTATTCTCCTGCTATTTATCTTACTCTCGCTTTCACTCTCTCCTTACACTCACTGCTCCTCCTCACCTATCCCCTCAGTTTTTTTCTTACACTCCATGATGGAAACTGGATGGGAGATAGATTTCAGTATGGGAACAGGAATGGAGATGACGGTATCTCCGGCGAAGTTCGCCGGAGCAACACCCGCTTACATGTATGGTATCCCCACTGCAGAATCTCTTAGGGTGGACGACCTGCTCGACTTCACCAGCCACGAATTCTTCCCTTCTTCTTCCTCCTCATCCTCCCCAACCGATGACACCGCCCACCTCCTCCCCACCAGCCACGAATTCTCCTCATCTTCCGCCGCCATCGGCTTCGATTCCTCCTTCCCCGACGACATCTACATTCCCGTAAGCCGAAAAGGAGACGAACTTATTAACGCAAAACAGAGAGATTTATGCGAAAAAAAAAAGTCTTTTTTTTTTATCTCCTCGTCTATCTATTGCTAATTTTTAAGAATTTAAAAGACATAAAAATAAGCTTTTGATTTATTTGCAGAGCGAGGAGGCGGCGGAACTCGAATGGCTTTCCAAGTTCGTGGAGGATTCCTTCTCCGATACCCCTTACCATTACTCCTTCGCTGCCGATGCGACAATGTCGACAGAAAACAGTAATTTTCCGGCTTCAGAGATCTCTGCTCACATCCTCACTTCCAGGAAAAATAGATCCCCGGAGATCTCCACCTCCTCTTCATCATCATCCTCTTCTTCTTCTTCCGACGTTCCAAAAGCCAAAAACAACGTAATCAGCAAGAAAAAACAGGGAAATAACGAGGCCGGTGCACGGCGGTGCACGCACTGCTCGTCGGAGAAGACGCCTCAGTGGAGGGCTGGACCGCTCGGACCGAAAACTCTCTGCAACGCATGCGGTGTCCGGTTCAAGTCCGGCCGACTCGTGCCGGAGTATCGACCGGCGGCGAGCCCCACCTTCGTTCTCACACAGCACTCCAATTCGCATCGAAAGGTCATGGAGCTTAGACGCCAGAAGGAATTCCTCATTCTACGTGGCGGAGTCGGCGGAACCGCCGGCGACGGCGGCGGCGCTGGTTTTTCGTCGGCGATGCTTTTCGAGGACTATGAAGTCTGTTGAAGCGCCGTCGACGGCTATTTAACGCCGTTTCTTGCCGTTTATCTTTAATGTGATTGCTTCGATGGATCCGTATCGGACGGCTAGAATTTGTTGCCATAAATTATTGATTGCTGCTCTGATTGTTGTTGCTTCAGTTTTGGGTTTCATGGCGTCATCACGTGATATCCGTGGTGGTCCAGCGAGGATGAGGCACGTGGTTGTCACGTGATAAGTAGAACGAATAAAAATAATGTGAAGTTGGGAGGAGGATTCTTGTTTAATAATCATTTACTTCTGTTAAATTGAAAAAAAAAAAAAATTAACAATTAGTGCATGATAATGATTTTATTTTATTTTTAATCTACTAATTATTTTGATGAACTTGATAAAAAGAAAACTAATATGCATCAAATCACATCAATTAATTAATTATATTTTAAGTATTAGCTAGAGTTATTACAATAGGTAAAAAGAGACTTGTGTAAAGTAAGAAAATAAAGAGGTGTATCCTACACTAGCCAAAGGGACTTAGCTAATAATGGATTGGAAGAATTTAAAATAGATTATATGGCTCCTAAAAAAATTGCGAGAAAGTGAGCATCTGAAGCGAAAAAATAGAATCACTCCTAAACAAAAACCAGAAGAAATTTGATTGGGTTCAAGCTATGAAATGCAACTTGTAGTAAGGCTTCCTCCCTTGCTATGAAACTAAGTACAACATATGTTATGTAGGACAAAGTATGATATTGTTTACTGCCAGGTTGAGCAGCCTTTTACATTGTACAGAGACAATGACCAAGATTCATAAGTACACTTCACTTTAGAAATGATAGGAAAAAGACCATCAAAATGAGCTTTTTGATCTTTAGAGATAAAACTATTGCAGTTAAGCAAAAGGCAACCGTATTTAACGGTAGTGAATAGAGAAAAAGAAGAGCTCCAAGAACTTCAAAAAAAGATCAACAAGTCCACAAACAAAGAGTTGTATAATAATTAATTAAAGTAGAGACAATTATTAGTCGTAACCAAAAAATAGAAAAAATTAATAAAAAGACACCCAAGTAATTATATTTTTGGTTTCAAAGGCCAAAAAGGAAGCCAAAATCTTTTAAGTTTCTATTTAGATAGCCTTTGGACCATACAATAATTGATTTTAATATAAATCATTTCAATAAATCAATGTTTTATCCCGTGTCTTATAGAATTCCTTACAAACATCATAATAATTATTATCATGAAAATAATTAATAAATAGATCCTTTTAGTAATAATAATGTGGTTTTGAATGTAAGTACATTAATTCAAAACATGAAACAGATTACCCTTACAAAGGAAGTAGTTTCCACTAGGCTAGAGATTTTTCATAAAAGTAATAGCCCCATGACAAAAAAAAAAGAGTGTTATTTTTCAAATATTGAGTAAAAAGCACATAAATTTTAAAAATAATGATTTCTCTAGTACATAATTAGTCAATTTTATTAACCCCATATAAAAAGTTGATCAAGAGCAAAATATATATTTTAAGTGTGAACACTTCAAACCAAAAAAAGGACCAAAAAATCCTTTGAGGGTTTAGAGAAAAAAATCATTTTAACTTCAATCGCAGAACAACTATTCTTGTCAAACCGTAAAAAGAAGGAAATATGATGAAGTTATAAAGGCATATCCCAAGAGCCATTATATATGGAAGAGTTTAATTATTTTTAAGTCTAGCGGTAAATTGAAGTAATTATAGGCATTTTAGCAATAAAGTCACAAGAAAATAACCAATAAATTATGGTAAATAAAAAAATAAAAGGTGTGAGTCATCATCTACTTTAATTAATGACAATGTTTATGCTTATAAGAGAACAAATTTTAATTCCTTCCATAAAGTGGAGTCTCTTCTCCTATCATTATACCAAATAGAGTATTAATGAATAGCACACTACTAAAAAAATAATGAATTAATGTTTAGTTTCCTCCAAAGGTGTTTTATCTTACAAATAAAATTAAGATGGATGATTTGAAGAAAACTTGAGCCTCCAATATCTCTAGGGATAGTAATTTTCTCCCTCAAATTTATGGGCAACTTCTTCTCATATTAAAGATCTACGAACACTCTAAAATTGATAACCAACTTCTTCAATTGTTGAGTATTAGATAAAAGGCAACTCAGGATAAGGATATTAAACGTGCTTCTATTGAAATCCAAAAGATCTCATTAAAAATGTGAAATCTATAAGTGTAGAAAAAACAAAAATAGATTTGAATGGATTGGCTTAATGATCTATAAAACTTCTTATAAAATGGTATAAGGAAATAATTAAGATAAATAATATAGTTAAAATCAATATGTCCAAAATAGTAAAAGATCTTTATTGTATAGCAAATGACTTGAAAAAAGTAAAATGTGTATAAATCATTATCAATAATGTTATCCATACAACATTAAGAAACTATCAATCTCAATTTTAAAGATGATTGGGATTAAAAATAAACTTAATTAAAATGATTTTAAGGGAAACGTAGTCTTTAAGCTTCTTAATAAGGGCTAATAAAAGAAATAAATATTCATAATGCATGGTTCAATTTGTTGCATAAAAAAAGAAAGGAGACATTTCTGCAAAAAAAAAGAGCTAAATGTGCAAATTTGGTAGCTCTATGAAATGCCTTTTCTAGATTAATTTTATCACAAAATAACTTTCATAATCATAATATTAATTTTTTTTTCTTATGTAGAGTGAAATCTTAAGCCTACAAGCAATAAGCATAGCTATTACAATATAAATTATCTTGGATAATGAAATGGGTGTTATTAGCATGAGTATGCTTTAGTATGAGGGAGATGCTAGTGTGGTTAGCAATACTTGTTAGTCAGTGAAACTATAAGAAATAATAAATAGCATAAATAATTTGGGAGCTAATCACTTTCTAATTTCCAATGAAAATTTTGTAAGTAAGCCCATTAATTCTTTGATCTTCATCTTCTTAAATACCAAATAAACATTTTTATATATAATTTACAAAAAAAGAGCATTGAGACCATTTAAATGGTTAAGAGGAAAATTGGGCTAATAGGAATGAGTAGGAGGTTGTAAGGTATTAAATAAAAAAATTCTGTTAAATAATTTTAGCTCATCCTAACCTTTAAAAACCCAACCTACATTGGCCCTTTGAGAAACCCAAATATATTCACACATGGTAGCCTATAAAGATTACATTGAATTTCCTTAGCTTTCTTTAACTCGTATGGATTATCAAGTTCTTACACTAGCAAATATAAAATTCTCTTACATTCTTCTTTACGATTCAATATATTCTAAGTAAAAAAGTGACAGAAAATCCAATTGGAAAATTTTAGGGATTTCTTCACATTATTTTATTTCTTATGAAAAATAAAAGTAAAAACACCATTAATATAAACAATCCAAGTAGAGGAAATCAAACTTCTTCTAACAATCATAGAGTGGCTAATAATTATCATTACTAAATGTTTTTTTTTTGTTTAAAAGAAAATTATCCAACAATATAACAAATTGATAGTGATCTCATGTTTACGGGGGTGTTTTATAATAAGATTAAGGGAAAATGTTAAACCAAGAAAAATTGCTTATTGCCTAGTAAATCTTTGTTATGATTGGATCATCATTATATTGGTTATACTTAGAGAACAGTCCAACACTATAATATTCAAAAAAGTTTGTATATAAAAATAAAGTAATTAAAATCTTACAACCTAATTTAAAGGGAAATGTTTCTGTCAATTTTCTCATAAGGAACATGAATATAATTAAAAACTCCTTAGACAATCCAACTATTATGAGAAGTAAAAGAAATATAAATGAGATGACACCATTGACATCAAACACATAATAAGGTGAAATTGAATGATGCTAGAAAAAGTTACGACACCATAAATGCATTGAGAGATGGTAGTGAGTGGTTCAAAAAATCTATGAATTATCCTATTTAGTCTAAATTTGGCCACTCAATTCTAGAAGAGAAGTTATGATTAGATCTTTCATTTTCAAAAAAGTTAAAGATATCTTCATAACTAAGGATCCTCCAAAGAGTTTAAATTAACTTTTATTTTTTAGTAAATAAACAACATCTACGTGATTTTTTTAGTGAAAATCTTAAAATTAATGAAACATTTATTCCCAAAAACCCTCTAATATACCAAGATGTAATCATAGGGGTGGACATAATGAAGAGTAAGAATTAGTGTGTGTTAAATAGCTTCATTAGTCCTGAGTACTTCAAATCCATACTCAAATCCCGTCTTTTTATGACCTAGTACTTTCCAGATAGAGGAAAAGAGCAGCCTTCTAAAGCTTGCTCGATTTGGAGATAATTAAGAGAGGAATCTTCCAAGATAGAAAAGAAAAAAAAAAATTGATGATATAGTATTTTGGATTATTACAATTTGTGCTATCAAATTTAGGGTGTTAAGAATCATTTAATCAACATTGAACCGACCAGAATGAAATTTTAAATTCTAAGATTAAAGAGTAGGAAAAGAGAATTAAGAAACATTTCAAGATATACGTTGGACAGTAGCCATTGACTCATCATCAAATTTTTGAGTTAAGGGATGAGAAGAATTATAAGCTCTAGCACTCTTAGCAAGTGTCCTCTTCTAAAATAAGAGGGTTTTAGAGGGATAGAAGCTATGATCATTAGAAAAAGTATGGCATGTTGTTTAAGTTTTTGGATTCTCATCAAATATTACTTACTGATGAGTATTAATTAAATTCAACTAAGGATCGCATCAGAACAAGTAGAATCTAGAATTACTTGAAAACAAACATGAGTAAATGCTAATTAGGATTTATTAACTGTGCTAGAGTTAGTAGCTAAGAAGATGCCAATTTTTCTCGCCATCCTGAAGGTATAATCTTCTATCCAACAAGGTAAAAAAAAATGGATAATTCCACTCAAATTGGAATCTCTTTAAAGTCTTCCTTAACACAAGAAGATATCAACTCTATTTTTTTTCATAAAAAAATGTGATTTCTCTTTAATAAAACGTAAAACATGGCTTTCATACTAGTTCTAAGTCTTTCGATCAAGAAAATTTCAAAAGTTTCATGTTACATAAGTTTAAGCTCCCACTTCTTATTAAAAGAACCAGATAGTATCATAAAATGTTCTTTTTTACACACAACATATCCAAACCAAGCCAATGATTATTCCTGACCTCCAATTGTGATGTTTGTAGCCTAGAAAGACACATCGTCTTTAGTTGACTTAGCCAAAAAAAAAAAAAATCCTACTCTTGATGATTTGTGTTTCCAATAGCTCCTTCAAACTCATATAGAAGGAAGAATCCTACTCTTGATGATTTGTGGTTTCCAATAGCTCCTTCAAACTCATATAGAAGGAAGACCCAATCGATTGAATGCAAGCTTTTGGCCAGCCTCACAACAAAGAAGGTGGGTTAGAGGAGAAAGAGAGAATGAAAAAGCTTATATCTAAAGTAAAGCTAGACTTCAAAGAGTAAATGTCAATAAAGAATAATTTAACAAGTAGAGCTTCATCAAGGTTTGAAATTTTAAAAAAGGAGGTAGTGAGGAAAAAGAAAGCAATCATGTATCAGAAGCAAAAGCTAGGGTTCCACTGTGGGGAAGAAGAGTGGAAAGGAACTTGTCCCAACCTTTTTCCCAAGCCTGACAGTTCACTGTAAACACTAATTGGGTTTTGAGTTACTTTGAATCAATTATACCTTCTTTTAAATTGTATGAATGGACTGATCCAACCAACCAATCTTAAAAAACTTTAATTAGGCATACATTAATATACTAGTCAACAATTCTATTCTATGATAAATAACAATTAATGAAATTCAAATTGAAATTCTAATTACATTATTACATATTTTAACCTAGTTGAAATAAAGTAAAATAAATTACAAAATAAATTACAAAATAAAGTATATTCAATATCAATGAAAAATATGATTAAAAATTGATAAAAAATAAACATTTTACATACATGACTTTAAAATTTAAATATTTAAATAAAATAATCATAATTCATAAAAATAATAAATATACAATGTTAGTTATATTGTTAATATAATAATTATATTTTGTAAACTCACTATTGGCTTGATTTATTCAAATTTAAAATAAAAACAAGACAGTAATTAGCATTTTGAAAAAAAAATTAATGTTTTTAATCTATCTTTAATTCTAATATTTAAAATTAAAAGTAATGAAGCATAAGATCTGCCATGTTTGACACATCACACAATTCTTCTATATTTTCAGATATAATACCTAAGTTTTAATATTTATTTATATAGCACTATAGGGTCATAATCACAGTAAAATATACACATAAATTTCCCTCAGCAAGCAGTAAAACCTGATAAAACTTTAAACCAGAAATTGAAGGAAATTAACAGTAACAAAACCAAGCTCATTACAACCTGCAGAAATTCCTCCTTCCCCTTAAAACGGTTCAAAATACTTAAACTGAAACATTAATGGATGCAATAATACACAATTTATATATTACGGTGTCAGTTAAAATCAATCAAACCACACTAAAAACTAAAATAATTAGAGAGAACATAAAGATATGTTTGGATCAGAGCTTTCAAAATGCCACAAAAATAGTAGAGAAAAGATAATATTACTAAGCTTTGAGAAGATAGCCCACAATCACTCCCAGCAAGGCCATGATTACAACAAATATGAATGAGAAGCTTCCACTGCTCTTCTTTTTGCTCAGTTCAAGCCTCAGAAGTTCCTGTACAGCATCACAAGTTAGAGATTGAAGGATAAAGGTTGGTTTGCCATGCATAGGATTTGATTGCCAAAGTAGTTTGTCGTTTGTAACAATTTGCTTGGATTGCTAAGAATCTCGTGTTTGACTGTTCGTTAAGTAAACGAAATGAGCTTGAAGAGATACTTGAAGCTTGTTTTGTTTTATTAACCAAGTCAAATAGAAATAGAGCTATGTTTGATTACGTCGCACTCGTTAGAGGCTCAAATAGATCATATGTTTATATCTGCTTGTGTTGATTTTATATATATCCCTCCTAATCCCCCTATGTGTAGAGGTATAGTACTCGAATATTTAGCACTCCTGGGATGATCATTTCTTTATATATATAATCATTTTTAAATTTCAATGACTAAGATTTAAGCACTAGGCATATAAAAGTATCTGAGATGCAGAAAGATGGTATGTTCCCTTCTTTTTAGAGTACGTGTAGAACTTTAGTTTCAAGGAATATCTAGTAGATTTGGAATTGATGACTTTATTTCTAAATTTTTCTTCAAAATAAAACTCTAAGGTCTAATAAACTTTATTTCTAAAAGCTTTTTTTAATAAAATTCTAAGGACTAATGTTAAATAGTTGGAAAAGAGGAATTTCAGTACAAGTTAAATGGAAAAAATGAAAGCTGACGAATAATAATTTTTTTGCAGGTCAGATGATGAAACTTAAGGATATAAATCAGGATAATATGAAACAATAAATTGAATTATGCAAAGAATAGCTTAAAGCACAATTGGCGTGAGTTTTACTTTCTGTTTTTGTTTTCGCTTTTGTTTTTTTATTTTCAAGAACATGTTTAACATATTTTAATTTTTTATTTTCAAAACAAAACACCTAAAAACAACTACCACAATCAAACATATATTAATTCAAATCAATACATAAACAAAACTAAACTAAAAATAATAAATGAAGAGCAAAAAACAAAAGTGATTCCAAATGACCCCTAAAATTGAAGCAAGTTTGTTCCAAAATAAATAATAGACAAAGAAAACAATGGAATCACATGTGCTTTATTGATTTTCAAAGACAAGATCAGTGTTATATAAATGATCATAAAAAATTATTGAATACCATGCATCAAGTGTATGTTACAATCACAGGAGATTGTATGAAGGAATAATGATTAGAATTCTAATGTTGTAACTTTTTTTAATAACATTAACTCATATTATCAAAAATTTAAAAAAAGAATTATAAAAAGATTTACTCAATAATACAACATATAGAATTTGGTCCTAATAAGTCAATAAGACAAGCAAAATAAAAACCATAAAGAAATTCAATAGAAATAAGGAGGCCAAGAAAAAAATGCATCCCATTAAGGAAACCATGAAGCTGAAGGAAACTTTCCACTCATGAAACTTCTAAAGCTGATGATGAAACCAAGTTGGTCATCGTCATACTAAATAAGAAAGATGATTTAAAGTTGCGGCACTAACCAGTAGTAGAATAGCCCTTCCATTAAAAGAGCAAAAGGCACCAAAAAATGAAATCATGCGACAAAAATCATAGAGTATGGTAAACAAAACCACTAAAATTGAAGGTTAAATAAGGGATTGCATAATTGAATCTTTAAATTTTACATTTTAGGCACTTTTGAAGAGTGTCAGCTTGTCCTTCACCTATGGTAAAATCCAAATATAAAAAACCCCATCTATAAGCCAATGGAATAACCACCTCATTGGGCACAAGATTCAGAATAAATGATGGATAAAGTGGGAAAAAGCTCATTCGACATCAATTGTAATAACAGAAATAAAACAAATAAATAAATAAATATTAAATAATGATGATAATAACAAATTGAAAAGGCACTAAATTAAGCACCCCTTCAGTTAGTATTACCCATTCGAACCAAAAAAACATAAAGGAGTAACAACACTGAAGGAGAAGGAAAAAGGCCGTAAGATAAGGGGAGGAGCAACGTCAAAAGAAGAGAAGAAAGGAGAAGTCGACGTCTCCACTCAATGTGAATCGCCTGGAGGTGTCGAAGCCGACACTGCTATTGTTCTTGCAGTGCTACGTTAAGCCGCAAATCGAAGCAAGAGAAAGAAGAAGAGGGAGGAGGTGGCACCGAGGGATTACCTGGATCGAGCCGCAACCGAAGAGGAGGAAGCTGCAGCTTCGTACGCTGGTGTCATGCGAAGGAGGAGGTTGTGTCACCTCGTGTGAGGAAGAAGAAGAGCCAAGATCGAAAACAAGGGATGGGAAGATCAGTGTCGTTCTCTCGTATGTGCAGAGAAAGTGGAAGAAGAAGAAACATGTGTAGCTCTGTTAGGTCAAGTCGAGCCCAAAAGGGAACGAGCTTTGGGCGTGCGAGGTGAGCTACAGACTGAAGGTTGTGTTAGGTAAGTTTAAGATTTTTTAAATAAAGAAAATTTATATATATATATATATTCATGCCATAAAATTAAAGCACCAAAAAGGTATATATATATATTTATATTTATATGTATATATATGTTAATAGAAAATTTAACAGCATGAGGATCAGAGCATTTAAGTCCTAAATTTGAAGGAGTAAGATAAGACAAACCTTTTGTACGAGAGAACAGGAAGAATCGCAGGCATGAATTGGAGATCTGAAGCCTATTGAAACCCTACGTTGAGAGTTAAGGTAATTTTTTTATAGAATTATTTATTAGAATTTTATATACATTAAATTGATATATATATTTAATATATTAATATGAAATTAGATTAATTGAGGTTAGGGGGGCTAGCGTGAAGATTTTGCGTGCAAGTAAGGGATGAGATCGATCTGAAAGCTCATAACGTAAATGTTAAAGCTTATATTATTATTAGAATTAATGATATACTTAGTTAAAATAATGTTATTAAAATTTATTGATTAAGAGAAAATGCATTCACCTCTATGAGATAAGGAATCAATGCAAGGAAGACATTAATTTTTATTTTATTACTAACTTTTTATTTTCTCTTTATCTGTTGTGAGAGATTCTCTTATTATCCCAAATACTATAGACGAAATTTTAATCCCATCTCCTCTCTCCCCCTCTTCTCTTTATACGCTTGAGGTAGTAGAAAAACCTTCAACGCCATGCAGCCATCAATTAATATAATACTAAGAGGTGGTATGCAGCAAGCTTGTAAAGATTAGGTAGATGATGATAAATAAATAATATTTTCAAGATTAGGTAGGCAGCAAACTTATAAGGTTTAAATAGATAAATTTATTGCTATACCCAAACAATCTCCCACTGGATATCGTTTTTGACATGTCTGCTTAATTGTAAGCGTATAAAAATCTTTGTGCAGCACCTCCATTCATGTAAGCTGAGGCTTTGCAAAGCCTCTATTTTTAGTGGATACTTTTGTGAGCATATCAACGTTTGCATCTTGATCTTGATGAGTTACAGAGCACATCCATCCCTCAAGTAAGCTTAATATCCAGTGCTGCTTAAGTTAAATGTATTTTATCGGGTAGTAACATTTTTTCCAATTAAATAATGCTTTGGCTGTTAACAAAAGTGTGGTGCCTTTCTACGTCCCTTCGAGTTCTTTTAAGAAGCTTTGAAGCAAAAGCATCTCTTTATTGGATTAATTAACAGCTACATATTCAGCTTACATAACTGATTGAGCTACTTTAGTTATATGTGTTTTATCCAAAGAGTTGAAAGCAACACTCATTGTTAAATAGATGCACTTTGATTGACACAAAAGAGTGGTGTCTCTATGTAGCCTACTGAGTTATGAGAAACTTTCAGCATAAGCATCTCTTGGTTGGCTCCAGTGACACCTACATGTTCAAATTTTGTAATTAATAGTGTTATCTTATAAAGTTGTAACATCCAATTAATAGCGGTGCCACCCAAAGTAAAAAGTTCTCACTATTTCTCTTTATATCCAGGCCTCCAATCTCTGAAATGGCTTTACAGTATTAGGTCAAATTCTTTAACTATTATGAATGGCTGATCTATATTTTAAATAATGCAGTATCTAATTTACAACTACACTATTATTTTTCTTGGATTGGATGCATATCTTCTGACAACTCCCACTACTTGATTGAAATAAATGATGGATCGTTGACACTGCGAGAGAATTGTGCTTAATCCACAGCTTGAAGCATTCGTCTCTACAATGAAAGGTTGGCTAAAATGAGACAACATCGACACTGGTATACTCATCATGGCCTTCTTTAACTTCCAAAAGTCTGGGTCGCCACCATTCCCCATTAAAAATTATCCTTCTTTAATTTCTCCATCAACAGCAACACTCAAATTGCAACCATTCACAAACTTCTGGTGTTATCATGTCAGTCCAAGAAATCCTCTCAACCCCTTCAAGGTCTTCAATAGTCGTCATTCCAACATAGCCACCACCTTCGATGAATTCGCCGACACCAATATCTTGCACAAACTAGGGTCACCGCAAAGCAACACAGTAATATCTCCTTCTTGAAACTTCATAGTCAAGAGTTCTCAATTCATTTTAATCTCCCCTAAGGATTGCAACCATTGCATACCCAATATAACGTCAGTGCTCTCTAAATCTAAGGGATAGAAGCCCATCACCCGAATACTTTACAGTGTCAAAGTCAGCTCTTTACAAACTCCCATACCCTTCTCCACTTGGCTCATTCCCATCATGCCACAATTGCTTCACTATATTTGAGTAGAACCGAAGTTGTTGGTGATCCCACTATCTACAAACACCACTACAAGCTGCTCTCTGATCTATTCCCTCACCTTCATGATGTGATTTGGAGCAAATCTCACCACTGAGTTGAGGAACACCTTCGCTACATCAAAATGTAAGTGCTCCTCTTCATCCATTGCTTCTTCCTTCAAGCATTCGCTATCTGTCTCCTCATCACAAATTGTAAGGATTTGGAGCATTTGATGCACCAATGGTCTAGAACATACTTCTCATTACATTGGAACATAATTCTTTTGTTATTTTGCCCCGCACCTCTACCTCCGTGAGGCTCTTGAAGTTG